CAGGTTATCGACATAAAAGACATCAAAGGAACAAACTATAGCTGACAAAATCCAAATTCAGGTCAAGCAAATAATTAACATTGACGGATAGCCTTCAGCTATTTTATTAGATTTCAGCAGACGAGAACTCAAGACGGTAACAAAACGTCTAAAAATCACGAAGTTTTTGTAAATACCTACCCTCTCTGCTCGCATTAAAAACAATGAAGAGTTGGAAAAGCCCTGGACCTGAAAAAATCCTAAAAATTCTAGATGAAAAGCACATTGATGTTTTAGTGACACTCTTGAACCAAATTTATAGTTCAGGCGTTATCCAAAGAGTGGTTAAAATCGATTTTTATTTGTCTCCCTAAAACGAAAAATGCAAGAGAATGCAGCGATTACCGCAACATTAGCTTGATGTCTCATATGCTAAAGTTACTACTTAAAGTCATCCATAACCAAATATATCACAAACTGGACATAGACGCTAATGATACACAATTTGGTTTTCGCAAAGGTCTAAGAACGCGTGAAGCTCGTTTTTCACTTAATATACTGATACAAAGATGCTTGGACGTCAATCAAGATATATACGCATGTTTTATTGACTATAATAAAGCATTCGATAAAGTACGACATAAACAATTAATGAGTGTCCTGAAATCAAAGAAGATTGAGTACAACGACCTCTGGATGTTATCAAATTTATACAGCGAGCAAAAGTACGTGTTAACAAACAGGTGTCAGAAGAAATTGAAATTAGATGTGGAGTGAGACAGGGATGCGTATTGTCGCCAATTCTTTTTAATGTCTTCTCCGAAGAGATCCTGAAAAAAGCTCTTGAAGGTGAAACAGCTGGAATAAAGGTAAATGTAGTTTCCATTAACAACATAAGATATGCGGACGACACTGTGATCTTAGCCGAAAAACATTGAAGATCTTCAGAGACTCACGACCAGAATAGCAGAGTATGGAAAAGAGTATGGTCTAACAATGAATGTCAAGAAGACGAAATTTATGAGAATATCGAAAACTCAAAGAAATAACGAGAATCTTCTAATAAACGGAACCAACGTCGGGACAAATATGCATATCTGGGAACAATGATTAACTCCACAAATGATTACAATCAGGAAAGCAAAAATAGAAGGAAATTCTAAATAATACCAGTGATTTAAAACTGGAAATAAGAGTTAGGTTGGCGAGGTGCTGTTTTTTCGACTTTATTTTATGGAATGGAATCTTGGACCTTGAATGCGACATCAATTCTACCACCAACTAGCAGTCTCTAACACTGCAATAAATTAATTAGACGGAGCAATGAGCGATTTTTCAGTGGAGTAGTGTATAATGAAAACATTTAAAAACAATAAAAGTGAAAGTTTGATTACAACTTAAGTAAAAAAACTAGCAATAAGTTTTAATTTGTAATTTTTCAGTTTAATAAAATTCATTATCTCTGGTATATTACATTTATTTCTGGTATATTACATTAATTTATTTCTATGAAATTGGTTGTTTTCATACCCGATGGCCTATTATTCTTACCTTTATTGACATGTTTGTCTCAAACAGCCAATGCCAAAGTGGCCCAACTGTTAAAAAAATTACAAATAATTACTATGAATTACTGTGAACTAACCAAAAGCAAAGTCTTGTGATCAACATCGGATGATAAGTCTAATTAACCACATTTCGAAGGCATACACCAAGGTTATTTACAACAGAATAAGCAAAAATGCGAGCATAACATTGGAGATTCGCAGTTTGGGCTTCGGAATTCTCTTGGGACAAGAGAAGCACTTTTTAGTCTACAGGTACTCATCCAGCGCTGCAGAGATATGAACAAAGACGTGTACATATGCTTTATAGACTACGCAAAAGCATTCGATACCGAAAGGCACGAAAAGATAATTGAAGTTCTCCATACCCAAACAGCACAAGTACATCCCATGGACGTCCAAACGATGTACCACATTAAATGTCTAGACATCCCACGGACATCCGTTTACATAATTTGGACGTCCCCGGGACGTCCAATAAGACCTGAATGTTACCAAAAAGTACGTCCCCTAGACGTCCCAGGGATGTTCATAGGGACGTACATAGTACATATACAGAACTTAATACGGACTTATGTAGGACCTAAGAAGGATGTATTGGGGACATCCATTGTACGTCCACATGGACTAATATAGGACCTAAATGAGGATGTATACAGGACCTAAAGGGAACTTAAAATTAATAAAATGAAAAGCAAAAATAAATGGGATTTTTATTGTGTACCTACTTATATTAACATATGTATTTAAATTTATAGTATTTTTTAAGCACATTACTCCTACTTACTTTACAAATGTAGCAACACACCACAACCACAAAAATTACCTATAAAAGTCCTATATACCTACTTAATGTCTATAATAATAAATTACCAAACTATAAACTAGTATCGAAAGCAATAAACTAATTCTAATTACAACCACAACCACAATGATTATAATTCGAGAAATAAACGAGATAAATCGAAGCGTCGTTAAAACATAACCACATTCTTCTTTTATCTCCTAATTTTTAAATTTCAGTTCCACTACAGAACAAAATTTTAGAGATACAGCTCTGCTATAGAATAAAGATTTTTCTCTAAAAGGAGCCTCTGTCTGTTTTCGTATAAATTAATGGTATTGAAAACTAAATATAGCTTTTTAAAATAAAGTTTAGTAGGAAGATTATATTTTGTAACAAATATGCTTAAGTAAAAAAATGACACAGTTAACACCTAGAAAAGATCCTTAATACATCCCTAATGGGACGTCCCTTGGACGACCTTATGGGACGTCTCTGGTATGTCCGACTAGAAATATCCCTTGGACGTCCCTCGGACGTCCAAAAGAAGTCCCGGGACGTTTGGACCTTAAAACGACCTAAAATGGACGTCCCAGGGATGTCCTGTGCTGTCTGGGTAAGATCGGAGTCGACTACAGAGACATTCGAACAATAGCGAGTCTCTATTGGGGTCAAACAGCTAAAGTGAAGTAGGATCTACATTGACCAATAAAATTGAGATCAAGAAAAGGATACGACAGGGCTGTATCTTGTCTCCAACTCTCTTTAATATATACTCAGAAGAAGTATTTAAGATAGCGCTGGAGAAAAGCACAGAAGGCATAAAGATAAATGGAGAAATAATTAATAACAAAGGTATGCTGATGACACTGTAATTCTAGCAAGTAGCATGGAGGAACTAAGTTGCCTAATGAGTAAGATACAAAAAACAACTGCACAATACGGACTCAGACTAAATATCACAAAAACCAAATGGATGATAGTAAGCAAAACCCAACAACCAGCACAGCAACTGATATTAGACAATGAAAGAAGTTCCCAGCTGTTCTCCGCGTGTAGAGGTACTCTCTCACCGGCTCTGGTAACTCGATTCAGCCATGTGTTACCTCTAGTCAAATTTAATACTGAACATCACAGTTATTTTATAACACAATGTACAATCTTTTATAACTAAATGTAATTTAAAGGGTTTTTTACCCTAGTATTTTGGTGGCTCAGGCATTGTGACCTAGCATTTTCGATTTTAAAACCTGATGATGGACTGTGTGGTCCGAAAACGTTTGTTTTATTGATGTAGCCCTTTTAAGGGTTTTTTAAATAAATATACCCATTTACAATGCCTAACCTCTTTTTGTGATACGTGGTATACAGCCAGCTACAGGAATTTTTCCTTGTGGATTTTAATGAAAGAATTGAACACGTGGATTCGTACATCTACTTGGGAACAATAGTTAACACAAATTGGGATCAAGCGAAGGAAATACGTATAAGAGTAGAAAAGGCAAGAGCATCGTTCACTAGCATGAAGCATATTTTCACCTCTAAAAGCCTCACCCTAGCTCTCAAAATTCGACTTCTGAAATGTTATGTATTCCCGGTTTTGTTACATGGAATGGAGGCGTCGACAATGACCGCAACATTGATGAAAAAAGTAGAGGCCTTCGAAATGTGGGCTTACCGACGTATATTACGTACATCCTGGACTGAGCACGTGACCAACGAAGAGGTACTACGCCGGATAGGTAAAGAGAGAGAGGTAGGAATAAGTATAAAGAAAAGAAAGTTGGAATACTTGGGTCACGTTATGAGACATAATAAATATAGAGTACTACAGCTGATCGTTCAAGGGAAAATAGACAGCAGAAGGGGTCCAGGGAGGAGAAGACACTCGTGGCTCCAAAACTTGCGGCAATGGTTCGGATTGTCATCTGCTGAACTATTCAGATCTACCGTAAACAAAGTCAGAATAGCCATGTTGATTGCCAACGTTCGGAACGGACAAGGCACATGAAGAAGACTGTGAACTAAGCAATGTGTTTGATATTTACTTAATTTTCTACATTAACTCGAAAATTTCACTAAACTATTTTGGTCCATATCTCTAGTTTTGATTTCTATCTGGTCTGAGATATACTGCATGTTGGTTTCGTTTCATTTTACTCGATTGTGTGCTCATGATATACTGATGAGTACCCGATTTCATTGTTTGTTTGCATTCGAGGTTAGTGTTTCCATAAGTAACTCTTGATACTTAAGCTGCACACCATAGTACATGGTAAATTACGCAATAACGGATCTATTTTGTCTACAAAATTTGTTTGGTGATAAATAAATCAGCATATAGGTGCTCTCTGCTCAGTTTTTAGGATTAAAAGAGAACGCTCACTAACGATCCAATTAAATTTCGAGTATATTAGGCAAAAATACAGCAAAAAATGAAAGAGATTCATCCTTTCACATAAGAGATGTTGAAGCGTTAACAAGATTGGCGAAAATCAAGAAGAATGTCACATAACTGCTGCTAAATTCCATCGAAGAGATTATTCATGGACGTGGAAAAGGTTATGAAAAAGACAAAAACATTTCATTCATCTATTGTTTAAACCATACACATTTTATTGCTTAAATTATTTCCTATAAAAATGATTATATATAAAACCAAGTCAATTTTTTTAGGTTTTATTTTGAATCATAAATAGTAAAATAGTAATAAAAAGTAGTAAGTATATAAAATAGTAATAAAAGTAGTAAAAATTTAGCTAAACAAAACCGCTTCAAAAGTTGACTTGTCTCAAACTAATTCGTATATTGTAAAACGAATACGGAATATAACGATTAAGAATTGGCATTTCTCATCTTCATTAGTAATTCGAACCTCCTGTTGGTTCTAACTTTCTGAACGACCTCCCTTCTATTTTCCAACGAATTCCTCTTCGGCTGCGTTTTATTCGCCGTTGCTTTTAATTGTTCTACCCTTGACACCTTAGTGTTTCCCACAGCACCAGCTTTAAAGCCTAATCTGGATAAACCTTTCTTCTCAGCAGTTACAGCTTTGGGAATTTTGGACACGACAGCTTTCTTTTCTACGGGCTTAACAATCCTAACGTTCGACTTGGATGGAGTGATTTTTGTTTTAGTCTTGGTAATCAACATGTTTGAAGTCAGCTGTTCAAGTTTATTAGGCTTTTGAAGGGGACTCTTTTTGGGACTGTACCTAAAAACACAAAAGAGTATATAGGTATATATCAATAACATAAATATTAATTTATTTCACTGCCGACCCACACATTTATAGATATAAGATTTTTTTAAATAGTTAATTTAATCAGTATTTCAATAATTAATTATCGCAGGTAATAAGTTGATGCCATTTATTTCTGTGAAATAAAAAAAAATATCTGTGAGATTATACAGCCTAAATTTTGTTCATGGGTTTTAAAAGAATTCGACCAATCCGAGCCTTAAGTGATCCCTACGCATCAACTTTTCAAATTAATGATCCGAGATCCGAGTCATCCATTCAACTGTTGAATTCTTATTAGACCCGTATTGGCAAGCCGACCCCACGCTGAGGATCTACATGTAAAATTCAACGGAATATTAGTCGATAAGCAACCAAACATACATTTCTCTCCGTACGCATTTAAATGGTAAGTACGGCAGTTATGAATCTGCCGATGCTTCATTTGGATTGGCCGCAAAGTTTCAAGTGCCTTGCGAGCGCGGGATGAAATGTTATTTCCGGATAAGTACTTTAGTAGTGAAGTGATAGTGCACTGACTGCCTTTCCTGGTATTGTATCGATCGATTCGTTTTGTATTGATTTGTTTTGATTTTTCAAAATAATACTGTGATAAGTTATCGCTGCCGTAAATAGTAAAGGGTTTTTTTGACATATTTAAAGTTTTTTCTTTTGTAAAATTAAAGTATAACAAATTCAGGTAAATCAACCTAAAAATGCAAGCTATGGGAGCAATTTTAAGTACTGATAAATCTGATATTGAAAATTATATTTTGCAAAATAAGTTTTAATCTATTCCATACGAAGAACAGATTGATATTAAATATAAGGGGCTTCCTTTGCCTAAAACCTCCCGACTTATAAATATTAGTGCGGGGGTAAGGGAAATAATACATTATTTTCGAATAATTGGTACAGAAAGTACTCATGGGTTACCGGGAGTCATATAAAAGACAAACTAATAAAAATGTTTAAGAAACACGATTTGGAATTTTTAATTTACTTTCTGATTCAAAGACATTTAGCGGCGTATCTAAAACAATCCAGATGAATTAACAGAATCAATTAACATTTTAAATAACGTTATTGAATCTGAGATTCAGGAAACCATTTGCTTATCGCTAGAAGTAAATGAAACTATTGATATATTAAGTAATTCATAATTATCAATTTTTGTTCAATACATGTTAGGTGGTAATATTGATAGGTTTTTAGCTTTTACAGACGTGAGTTAAAGCCATAAGGTAGAATATATTTTTGGTACTTTAAAGGACAGATTAAAATTGTTTGATATCAAAAATAAATTGGTAGGGCAAACTTATGACGGCAAGCTTTATTTAGTCACTGTCATGCACATAGAATGAATTTAGTTTTGCAGGATATGTGTAAAAAATTAAAGATTCGTCTTTTTTTTTTCACAAACCGAAGTTGATGGTGACTGGCAAGGCACCAAAACCTAGATTTTTTAAGGGCACTAAAGCAGAAAAACTACCTGTTGATTACTTCAACCAAAGAAAAGGGTGGATGGATAAAAAATATTTTAAGAGTGGTTCGAAGTTGGTGTAACATGTCAAAGTCGAAACTAAGTAATTTAAAACTAAAAAGCAAAGTAAAATTAACTGAGTAAATAAAAAAAACAATATGTTTGCTTACCTTAAAAATTTCCTGCTTTTGGGAGATTTTAATTTAAGCGTGGGTGACTTGACTTTCAAACTTGACGATGAAACTGATAAACTTGTTTCTGGCTGTGGTTTCTTTCCAGATAATAGCTGGTGTGCTCTCAATGCTTTCCTTTCGCTCATTTCCTTCAGATTTTCTAATTTATTGTATGCTTTTTGATGGATCAATGCAAAATTGGGTAGTTTTGTTCTTTTCATTGTACTTTTATTGGTTTGTTTATTTTTTTCAGTTGTCTCGTCGAATCTACAATGTTTCTGTGATTCTTTTTTTATGGGGCTTATCGTTTCAGTAAATAGTACTTTTGATTTGCTTGGACTCAACTGTCGGTCGGACCTTTGTACCTTTTTAGTAGAATTTGATTTCTTAGTTGAATTTATCAATGACTTCTTTGGAGAGTCTATTTGTTTTATAGGACTTAGGCTAATTTTTGGTGAATCTGGTTGAGGCTCAAAGCTGCTTGAACTGTCTAGTAGTGCTGTGTTTTCCCAAGGAGGTGATACAGAGTGCAATACACCTGAATCATCTAGAATAGACACTCCCAAAGACCTATTCCATGTTTTACGTTTTTTACATATATTATCACTAGGAGGACGATGTAAATCACTATTTTCCTCTACCGATTTTGACCTTCTAGATTCAGAAATACTCCCGCTACTCTTATGGAAAGAACTGGAAGAAACTTTTAAAACATGTGGTGATTTAGGGTATATTTTCGAACTTTCACGAGTATACCACAACAATGAACCACTGTCTTCCCCATTTGGAGAAATTACATTTATAGATTTGCTGGATGATTGTGTCAGTACATCACTGGTTTTACGTTTTGGCCTCAAATTAGGAGTCATGAAGCTTACTGATTTGCTCTTGGAGGCGGTGGAAGAACCATACAAAGATTTTGATCTTCTTCCGACTTGTTCAGAACTGGCATCATTCACAACAGGTAGCTCAGAAATCTCGAAAGTGATATTTTGTAACTCAAATGTATCTCCGTCATTTTCTGCATTTTCTAATTTCCCAATGTCGATAGTTTCACACAAATTTTCATTACTGGTAAACACATCATCAGATATATATTCTGAACTGATTGGGGTTAGAGCTATCGATTCCGTAGCTCTACTACTGCTCTTTCTTTTTAAAACAGAACTGTTTCTACTGCTTTTATTGAAATCATTTAAGTTGTCATATATTTTGGATTTATTAAATTTTTGTTCATCCTGTTCATTATTCTTTGATTTTACGTGACTCAAATGGATGCTTCTTTTGCCAAGTGCACTTGTGTTTGTTGACTCAATATTTTCACTGTTAATTCTGTTACTTTTCTTTGAACTCGATCTAGAAGCTGTCATTTTAGTTTCATCTGTAATATATGGTTCATATATAACGTGTTGATCTTCCTGTCTAATATTCTTCGGTGTAACATGACTGAAACGAATACTTCTTTTACCAAGTACACTTGTGTTTGTTGACTCAATATTTTCATCGTTGGTTCTGTTACCTTTCTTTAAAGTCGATCTAGAAGCTATTATTTCATTATCACCCATAATATAAGGCTCTTGCTCATTTATAAATTGTTGTTCCTCTTGTTTAGTATTTTTGGGTGTTACATGACTAAAATGAATGCTTCTTTTGCCAATTGAAGTCATGTTGATTGGCTCCATATCTTCATCATTATCTTTTTTATCAAAAGTAAGCCTTTCTTGCTTTTTAGCTGGGTTTGGAGTGTTGTGACTCAATCTGATGCTTTTCTTGGAACTAGATCTCAAATTTTTCAATACTGTGTCATGATTGTTAGATGTCCCATCAATTATTTGTTTTTCTTCTTTCTTCCTCATGATAGGACTTTGGTGGATACTTTTCCTGAAAACAGAGCTTCTGTGATCACTATTATCAACAGACTGAATATTACTAGGTGTATAACTTGATTTTAAGGGAGTTTTATATGCAGTTTTCCCTTTGTTAGGGGTGGGGTGAATTCCTATACTGTTTTTTCTTGAAATTGACTTTTTCTGTGTTGTTTTACTTTCGTCAATGTTTTCACTAGAATGTTCACTTAAACTTGGTCCATTGTTACTACTTGTAAAGCTTTCTTCAATTTCTCCCTGATGTATGTTCTCATTAAATTTATCGCTTTTTCTTGTAACTAAGCTTTTCATTTTTAACGAATTATCAATGTCAGTAACAGAGTTAGAAATATTAGATATTCTAACTGACTTTTTTGGAGTTTTACTCACAAGTTTTTTACTAGGTGTGTCCTGAACAAATGTATCACCTCTTTGTAAAACAAAACACTTATTTCCTTTGTTCTCATCATCTTGTTGTTGTTGTTTATTATATGTATGATCTATCTTTTGTGGACTGTCAAATTCTTTAACTGCATTTTTTTGCAAACCTTGACTAATCCTATTACTTTTTCTTACACCTAACACTTTACCTTCTGTGACTTTGATTTCATCAAGGGTGTTGACTTTATTGTTGTTGGAAAATAAGTCGGTTGGTTCTTGTGGAACTTCATTCTCATTTGAACTTATTTCTGAGGAAGATTGTGCCCCAGATTTTGTCTTACTTTTCCTCTTCCTCCTACGTTTCTTTTTGAACTCCACTTCTGAATCTCTTTTATCTTCTTCTGTTGACAATCCTTCGCTTAATTTTCCGCTTTTTGTTTCCTGTGGTTGAATTTCAGAAATCTCCCTTTTCTGGAAGTAATCAAAAAGTGAATTTATTTAAATATCAAAACAGCCAACAAAAGCAATAAGTGTAATAAAAACATAACACTGATATGCCTGCACATTCCGACAAATAAAAATTTAAAAATTTTGAATGTAAACAATAAAACTAATTTTCTTTGTTACTAATGTACTCAGAAACAAATCAAGTAACCATATGCAAAATTTCTTATTCAGGAATAAAAGATATCCCTATCATAATTTTTTTTATTTAGTAATTAAAAAAAAATGTGGATTGCAAATAACATGCCCTTTTTTATCTTCATTTATTGGTCAAAGGCTTCAGGTAGATGGGCTGGTAAGTGGAAGAGAACTTTTTGTCCCTAGACTAAGAAATCATTCTTGTACTTGGATGAACCTATAAATAATGGTCAATGGCCTAAGGATACAGAAGGTAACAGGTAAGTACAAGTTTAAATTCTATTTTAAAAAAGCATTATAGTTTGATTCTTGCAAATAGTTCTGAATGTAAGTATACCACATTTATAATCTTATCTAACTAACATTAGATCATTCAACCCAGCAACAGAATGTTTATTTAGTAAAATATAGCACCTTTTTGCCATGTCATGTCTGTAACCAATTACAACATGATGTGTTATCAGATTACATAAGAATTACATTTAGCATATTATAGCAAAAACCATGTCTGTAAATTTAATCAAAAAAAGAAAGAATTGCAACCACTGCTTATGTTTAGTCATAAATTACTTAAAGGAAAATCAGAAATAATTAAGAAAAACGTAAATATACAATAGAAACAATACTTGCCATTTCTTCAGAAGAATCTAACTTCTTTCTTGACTTTTTTGATTTTCTGACAATGGTCTCTCCTACAATGTTTGGAGAGTAATTCTCTTTGGATCCACTCAGATTTAAATCTACTTTGGGCAAATAAAAAAGATTGTTCTTCTTCTTAGTAACAGACTTTGTTAAGCGATCACTTTTTGATGAAGGAGTTAGTAAACTTATTCTGTTAAACTCATTGAAATCTTGTGTACTTCGTATTTTCCTTTTAGTTTTCTTCTTCATAACTGGTTCCTCCATTGTCAAAGGTTTTTGTTTATTTCTGTTGAAAAAAGAATATAATTTTTAATCACAACAACAATATTAGTTTAGTTATATTCATTTACCTTATTTCTGTAATATAAACTGGTAAATGTAAATTATAAAAACTTGTGTAAAAACGAACAATTGCAAACGGTTTAATTTAAATTTGACGTCAAGGTAATGACATTTGATGTGTTGACAACATTACCAAAGATGACCACAGATCACTAAAATTGTCACCGTTCCTAAAATTACTGCATGTTTTTAACAAAAATGTTTTTCATTGATATGGGAAAATGGTTTTAATAAATTGTAATTAGTGTAAACTGTATTAAATACACCGATTTTTTAATTATACTGCATTTATATATACTCTGAAATAATCATACATCCTTACAACGACTAGTTCAATATTTCTTCCATCTCTATTACCAAACCAAAGTGTTGATTTAAATTTAAAAAAATAAATATCATGATAAAAAGCGCGCCCTTTACATATAGATAACTTCATGGTACTGTTTTGTAATCAGCACATTAATTAAATATCAAATTAAACAAGCCCTGACGTTCAGTGCCTTGTTGACCATACTCATCCACAAATTTCCAGTTAACGATAGCACAACAACACAAACCCACCCACCAATCCAGTTAGAGAATCGAATGCGAGAGTATCACGATGATCCAATCAAAAACTATCCTAAGTTACGTCACGTCATGTATTTTTGAAAGGTCAGGGGTGAATATTTGTAAACAATTAAGGGGTAACATTTTTAAGAGATTGCCTTTTCCCACAAGCTCTGTTTTTTTCTCGAATACATCTACAATGGCTGCCTTATTACCCCCCAGAAGAAATCCTACACCAACTAAAATATCCAGGCAACACTTAACCCCTTTACAGACTTTGTTACAAATGGGATTTCCAAAACATAGAGTGTGAGTATTTGTTTATCACCATTCCAATATCGAGGAATAATGCTCATTGTATAGGTTAAGATAATGAGATAAATAAAAATACTTAACTTGGATTAAAATTTAACTTCATGATCTTGCATTGATCTCTTACGTGGTGTTCAGTTCTCCCTAAATTTATGTGCAAAACAAGAATAACATAATTAAGGAGTAACAAGACGGTCTTTTGTAAAGTTAGAATTAAAAAAAAAACAATTTTGTAAAGAATTGACGAGATAACTCCTGAAAGCTTAAAGGTAATATCTGTTTTAAATTTAATGAATCAATTTGTAGAAATTGATTTATTTTGATAAAATCAGGTTTTCTTAAAATTGTATCTACAGATGGTCTCGTTTTGCTTACAGTAAAATTGGAAGATACTTGACAATACTTACTCCAAGTATATTGTGTTTTTATTGTAAAAAATAAGTAGAAAAGAAACAAAAATTTTACCAGAAATAAAGATACAGTACATTTATTCATAGTATTTCTATAATTTATTTTCTATTTACAATATCCTAATTCATTTTAGTGAAAAAGCATTGGCAGCCACAGGACATAGAGGTGTTCAGTTAGCATCAGACTGGTTGCTAGCTCATGTAAATGATCCCCTGTTAGATGACAACTCTCCTAGAGAGTATATTTTATATGCTTGTCCCACTGGTGCTTTTTCTCAACAACTTCAGGCATTTTGGGAGAAATCTCTTAGCCTGTGTGGATGGAATGGTGCTCATAATTTTACTCCACATATTACCCTAGTTTCTTTCTTTAAGGTAAAATTTAACATAGTTTATTGTTTTTATTATTCAGAAGAAATGTAGAATCCTTTGACCTACATATTTCAATAAATACTTAAATTTTATGATTTTTTGAAAATTTATTTCTATATTCCTAAAAGTTGCACTATCTTTGAATCCCTTCCATGTAGTGCATTGTGTAATAGATTCTATTAAATATCCTGATCTTATTACTATATAAACATGTTTAGTTCATTTCTATTTCAGGCACCAGATGAGGATGCGCTAACCCTTTCACAAGGGTTGAAATCTGTGATGGAGAGGCAAGGTGCAGTATTGAATGAGCCCCTTAAATTGGAGACCTATACATCTCCAAACTTTATGGGATTCTTTGTAGCTGAAGAACATGCTGATTATTTGAAGAGGATAGCAATGCAATATGTTAAAGAAGTCTCTAATGCAAGTAAGTGATACTTAATAGGGTCCTAAAGTTTGTGTTTTCTGGTGGATATGTTTATGACTTCATAACTAATATTTATTGGGTATATAACTAATAAAACTGTACTTAAATAATGATATAAAAGAGCCAAAAGATACATCAGCCTCTTTAGACAAGTTCCAATATAAGTTCTTGCTATTTATTGAAGAATGGTGTGTCAAACCTCTGGTTTTATTGTATTACTGCTGAACTATAGATTATACAAAAAATATTCATAACAACTGATATATATATATATATATATATATATATATATATATATATATATATATATATATATATATACAGGGTGGTGAATCGTCAAACCGTCCATAGGAAACTCAATGGGAAATTCTAAATTGTTGAATTCCTGCTTCCCTAATTATTTTACACCCAAAGTCATGGGAAACTATTTTGTAGAGGACTCAAATATGTATCGAAAACAACTGTTAAAATTATTCTACGACTTAAAGGTATTCCAAAATTTTGCTAAAATATAATACATTTTTCTGTGAAAAAATGTGTATTACGTGTTGCGTTTTGTCATATTATTGTTTCTGATATTTGACAATATTTAAATCAATTATATTACATTTATCTATGATTTAAATGGCCAAAATTTTGTGATTTATTGTTAAAAAAAAAATTAAGTTGATTAAAAAATGTACTCAGTTGAGGAGAAAAAAGCAATAATAAAAATTTTTTATTCATGTTTTATTATAACACTTGTTATAGTTTTATGTTTATAAATTATCATATATTATTATTAGAAATAAAGATCACAGTAACAGTATATTGGAATTCATTGAATTGTTGTATAACTTAACATGGAATTAAATTTTAGTGAATTAGAATATCTTACGTTAAATAAAGATCCGGTAGTGGCAGGAAAAGGTTCGCGCTATTGCCTGAGTACAACATTATGCGATTTTTCGTCAACTGAGTACATTTATATTGATCGATTTGTAAACAATATAATTTATTGTTCACAAAGTAATAATGTTCATTAGTAGTAGTATTTAGTAAAACTCATTGTTTATAATTTAATCATAAAATAAAAAAATTGACAATTCAAATTGTCAAACATCTGACATAAATATGATAAAACACAAACGTAATAATATATATTCTTGCATTACGTGTGGCCTAACTTTTAGGGGTGGCCTGAAAAATGTATTATATTTTAGCAAAATTTTGGAATACGTTTAAGTCGTAGAATAATTTTAACAGTTGTTTTCGATATATATTTGAGTCCTCTACAAATAGTTTCCCATGACTTTTGGTGTAAAATAATTAGGGAAGCAGGAATTCAACAATTTAGAATTTACCATTGAGTTTCCTATGGTCCGTTTGACGATTCACCACCCGGTATATATAATGTGTGTTTATCAAAGACATCTATAATTGAAATATTTTTAGATTGTACTGGGTCAGTCAGAACAACAGAATTAATTAAGTTATTTCTTTTAAGGAAACACCTTGTATATTAAACCATTCTTGAACATTTTTTAAATATGAAGAATTTATATAAGGTTTTATAGGTATAAAGTTAATAATTTGTTAAATATTCACAAAACAAATCATGCTAGATAAGTATATGTAACCACAGCTCTTTAAATGTTACAATTTTTCTCAATAAAAGTGTACATATTTCGAATTAACTTTAGACTTATAAAACCTTATACAAGCTTTTCATATCTTTAAAGAATATATTCAAAAATCGTTGCATTAGGTAACTATACAGGGTATTTCATTAAAAAATTCTGATCCATTCTGTTGTTTTGACTGACCCTGTATAATCTAAAGAATAGAAATTCATATTACGAATATAAAGAAGAGAAAACTTAAATACTTAGGCCACCTGATGAGAGGACAAAAGTACATGTTCCTACAAAATATAATGCAAGGAAAAATCCAAGGACGCAGAAATCCATTCCGTAGAAGAATGTCCTGGATGAGAAATTTAAGAGAGTGGTTTGGCCGTACCAACGAATTATTCAAAACAGCAGTTAATAAAATTAGAATCGCCATAATGATAACCAATCTCCGATAGAAGAGGCACTCAAAGAAGAAGAAGTATAATCTAAAATAATTTTAAGTTATAGATACAGATCGAACAAATTTAAAACGGATCATACAATTTAATATATGTCTGTTTGAACTGCATTTGAAATAGTGGACCAATATAAAACTTGGACAAAAATAAATCCATACCCGGTGATAGTCATTGTATAAAATATCGTTCAACTATCTGTCTCCTTTTAGGAGGCACCATAGTCTATAGTGCCGCCCAAAGTCAATGTTGCTAATCGCCGTGTAATAATCCGATTTGCGGATCTTTTTGAGAGTTATATCTTCTTCATATCTTTAAATAAATCGGATATTTGCCTATATTTTTCATTGTATTTACCAATCTACTACAACAGACTAATAACAAAAATAAAGTTAATGGTTTGTAGTTATTTCCTGTCTTTCCTGTAAATATTTTATGGTGAACAGCTTATTTGAGAAACATCTAGAGGAATGAGATTGGCAACACCGCTCAAAATATCCATCTGCTTAGATAAACGAAAGAGGGGCTTGCCTAAGGAATCGATAGGTGGTTTGACAGCATAATAAAATCCTAGATTTATGTGTAGCTTTCAATTTTTATATGTGATGGGCGGGGCAATCTATTTGGGCGGAGTTTTGACTTGTTCTTGAATGATTTCAGAATCCAGCAGCCCGCTGAAGTATTGGATTTTTATAATATAATTATTTGACAACCTTTTTTTGGCCAACGACCTAGAGCGGAGTTGAGCCGAAATACATATATTTCGTATGTTCCGAATTTATCTCGTTCAATCTGTATATCTGGTATAATTTATCAAAGACATAGTTTTGGTATAAATATTTTTAAATACTCCATCATTTAGTCGTAGCAAAAGAAAACAAAATGTCTGACACAACCTGTCCTATATATTTTTATATTAGTTTGTCAAAATCTAAATAAATTTACCATTATATATACAGCAGAACCTCTGTAAGTCGAACTTCAAGGGAGTTGCCAAAAAATTTGAGTTAGAGTTTTTAACTTATGGAGGATTTGACTTAAGGCAGATTACAGCGAATTTTGATCCAACATAAAGAGATTGAGAGTCATTCTTACTAATTTTAAGTTTAAGTGGTAACAAATAAAAGTTCAAGTTATAGAGGTAACAACAATTTATTATAAATCAACATTATTTCAAAACATCCTTAAAATATAAATACAAGACATTAAAAAAGTCAGTACCTTTTTTTGCTTAACCATTGATCTGTGTCTATAGTATTGTGTAAGGTATTAAGAGCAGAAAATTCTCGTTCCTCAGAGTTACTGGTTTGCTCTATAAAATTCCGTAAAGTATTCAATGCTATTCTTCCTCTTTTGTGGAAACCGATGGAGCACATGTCATATTATTAATGTCTTCTATGTGCTCTAAGACATGAATGTCTCTTTTACGAGCTACAGAATCTATAATTTCATCAGATAATGCCTCAGCAGTTGTAGCTCCATCATTGAGTGTAAAAGTTCTCAAAGGATATTCTTAATTCAGAAACCCCTTTATTTCATTCCACAGGAGGTTCTTCAGTTTCAGCTTCTTATATTGATGATACTGACGATGGAAAACAGTGGTTAACAGTTTCTTATGGTAGTCGTAGGTACATTTCTCAAAGCTTTATCAGCCATTTTTATCTTCGTTTCGATGATCTAACTACCAAGACAGATAAGAAGCTTCTTGATAAACTCGCTCCTATAAGAGACCTTTTTGAATTAGTTGTGAAAACTGAGTCAAATTTTTCGTTGTCAAAATACGTAACTATAGATGAGATGCTACCCGGTTTCAAAGGCAAATGTCCATTCCGCAAATTTTTGTCTTAAAATCGTCGAAGTATGCAATTAAAATTTTTAATCTGACTGATAAAAGTTTTTTTATACTGGCAAGATGGAAGTTTATGTACAACCAGAAGGAACTTTTCTCAAAACTAACTCCCCAGCTGATGTAGTAACTTGGTTGGTTGAACCTTTTAGGGGAAGCAAACGCAATGTATCTATGGGTAGATGGTTTACTAGTATTCTCCTCTACAAGACGTTGTTGAATGAACATGGACTAGCAATGAAAGGAACTATACGCAGTCATAAAAGAGAACTACCTACATAGTTGATAACAGGCATAAGACCCGTGACTTTAAACATATTTGCACTTTAACTTCTCATTTCCCAAAAAAATTTCCTGGTCATTTCTTCCTTGCAAGACAACGATCGACGAAAACAGTGGAAACCCAATAATCATACACGACTACAACAAAACCAAAATAGAGGTCGATCAGATGCCAAAGAATTATAATGTATCGAGAAATACAAGAAGGTACACTGGTTCAATGGTACTGTTTGCACTCTAATAAATGTATCAGGAAATAATAGCTACTTTATTTATAATTTAAACACTGAAGAAGATAATTTCGTACCTCAGAGAACTTTTCTATACACACTTGTCAATCAAGCACATGTCATATTATCAATCAACTGACACATGCACATATGGTCAGAAGGTCAGCTGATATTCACTTTAAGATAATGAGGGGGAGACTGAGAGAACTGGCTAGTGCCTTAGAGCCTAATTTACAACCTAAACTAGAGAAAAGAGACCTAGATTCTCTTGTATCAAGTGTAAAGTATCTTTGTGCCTTGAACACGTGATCGGTATTTGCGCAAAGTGTGTCCAAAACACAGATCAAATAGTCTAGTTTTATTTTTTGTTTAATTTTTATTAATTATACATTACTGACATGTTTAAAACATGTTTAATTATTTAAATTTTTGCATAATTCATAAGTTGTTTAAGGTGTTACATATATTATTATTTATAATAAATATTAAAAATAGATTTCGAGTTTTATGTATCGTCAGTGTTCCAAAATTATTCCTTATTTTTTTTATACAATTACAGCAAAAAATATCAAAGAGAAAAAT